TCTTTATCGCCTACATTATTGCATTTAATTGATTCTTTATAACTATATCGCATTATACCGTAACCGTAACTTAATTGCTGTATAACCGTAACTTAATTGCCATATAGAGGTAGGAGCGTAGGACAACGCCTATTATAATTTCCAATAATAATAATCTAATCTGCATCGTAGCTACCGTCTTTGAACGGTTCAGTTGCGCTTCCAAGAGTCAACCGTTATCTATCACACAACCGTAGCGCTAGTGAGAACCGTTCTTTCCTAAAATAATCGAATTAACCGTTGTACGACGGTTGTTAGGAAAGAACCGTCTTTTGACCGTGGCGAGACAGTATCCTATATTCTATATACCGCTAGCTAAGTATTATTATTTAATAATATTAGAAAAATTTCGAAGCCCTTAAAGTTAAAAGATTTATATAAGCAACTAAAAAATTCAACCTCCTCCCAGAGAATTAAATAGGCAACTGGGTAGGCCGTTTGATGGAGTTTATAGTTTAAGTAATTATTAATATAGTTTATGCAGCTTAAAAATTCGGGGCTATAACGTTCCTTATACTCCTCGATTTAAAAGGTACATTTAATAGAATTAATTATAGGTAGCGTCTATATACTTTATACGAAATATAGCTCCTAATGTAAATTATCAAATAAGTAGCGAACTTCGTTACTAATAGGAGAGGCGCTCTTTTCTTCGATAATAAAACATTTCGCCCCTATACTATTATAACAAGTATATTTTAGAGCTCCCCCCTCTTACTTATTTTATTTATTCTTTTTATTATTCTATTATACTAAAAGTTGGTAATAATTTTAAATATAATTATAATCGGCTTTATAAATAATACTAATATTATTATAATAGCCCGTACTACCGAAGAAAACTACCGGATTTTGTAGGTAGTATAGAAAATATATTCGGAATAGGTTAGGGCGAGAGGTATAGAGTTTAAAACGAATGAAATGGCGCTAATATATTTTATATAGATAAGGGTACTAAGGATAGAAATACTCTAATTCGGGGACGTAGTATTTTAATTAATAAAATTAATAAAATTCCTATGGGTTTAATTAAATTATAAACTTAATTACTGGATTTATATAGAAGTAGTAAAATAAAAGAAAAAAGACTTAAATGAATATATTTATAAGGTAATTAGTAAAAGTATAGGGTTATTCCTTTATTCGGGTAAGGGAAATATATATTAAGTATATTTGTAGTATTATTGTATATAGAGCCTTAATATTCTATAAACTAATTAAAATTTATAGGAAATTACTAAGGATTGTAATCGGATTAGCGAAATATTAAATTAAATGCTTAAGAGTTATCGCTGGGGTATATAAAATTATGTTAGTATAGAATTTAAAGACGGAAACCTTTTATTCACTATTTAATTTCTATTTAAATAAAAGAATTTAAGCCTTCGAAAAAGGTTTGCTCGTACGGACTAAGTAAGGTTCGTCCGGGGAATAGTAATTTAAATAACTAACTATATTCGGATATCATAAATTAAAAGTCGGCTATCCGCCAATAAATTAGAGAGTAGTATAATTAAAATTAAATAGGTTAAAGCGTAGATATTAATAGAGAAGCTATTAGCGATTGCGGCCGGCCCCCCCCTAGAATTAAGGTCCCCGCTATTACTGTTATAAATCCCGGAACCTATAGTTATTAATAAGGAGGAATAATTAGAAAATATATTGAATAGAGAATAGGTATTACGCTATAATTATTAATTAGCGGTAGTAGTAGCTAAATTAAATCGACGGTATAAATTTACTATTATTAACCTTACTCTTAAGTTTAGCGGCGAAGTTATCTAATACTATATAATTAGTGTAAAAAAAGAAGAGAAAAAGAGAAGAATTCGAATATTAGAGGAAAATAATAATAAACTATACCCGCTAATTAAAACAAAAAATTCCTTCCAAATCTAAGAATAGAAATTATAGGACTCCGGGCTTTTCTCTTCCGAAGAAAGGTACTAAGCGTCTAAACGCCCGTCTACGCTTATAGATTAGAAAAAGAGACCTTTACTTATATTATTCTAAATTACCTTAATATAGAAGGCCTTTTTTAGTTAAATATTAAGAATTAGCTATTAATAAAAGAAGAACTCTAGGATTATTTAGACGACGGAATTAAAGCCGAAAAGATTCTATTATAGGCGTTAAGGTTAGGTAAATTAAAGGAATACCGTCTAATAATTAAATTGGAAGAGGAGTAGCGCAAGGAATTCGCGAAGTATTTGTAAAAAAGGAATAAATTATTAATAATAATAGAGTAAAAGAATAAAAGGATAGGGAGGAAGCGATTATATTAATTATAAATACTATTTATATTATGGCTATAATTAAAACCGAAGTATTATTTATCTAATATTTAATTATACTTAAGAAGCTCTTTAAGAAATTCTATTATACGAATTTAGTTTATAATAATATTACAACGCTATTAAATTTAATTATTATTTATAATAGGGCGGCCGGGGGTATTAATAGTTATAGGGTTATTAGGGGTAGTATTATTACTATTAAAACCGGAGACTATACAAATAAAAGTAGCCGTACTACTACTATTAGGACCGGATATAATACGCGTAGGAATAATTATACTACTATTAGAATCAAAAGTAATATAAACCGGGTTTATTATATTATTAATACTAAGGCCGGAGGGAGTACGACTATAGAGAATATCTTTTACGTATAGCGTATAATATCCCTTCTATTGAAAAATAGTAATATTATAGTATAAAGTATAGAGAAAGTTAGTAATATTATTCAGGAGATTATTTTATATTAAACGATTATATATATATTTAGTAAATTATTAAATAGTACGAACGAAAGTATCCAATCTTTAATAATACTGAGCCGGGCTACTTAATATTATAGTAATAATTATAGATTAAATAATATTATAAACGTTATAGAGATTAATAGGAACGTCCAATATATATTGACGGGTAGTATAAAAAATATAGGTCGCGGTCTAAAAGTTAGTAATTAGGAATAAAATATTAATTAAAAAAGAAGGGCGAGAAAAAAAAGGATATAGAATTTATAAGAAGTTGAAATGAGGTAGGTTTTGCCGGTAATAATCTTACGAAAAGCGTTAGGACTAGTAAATCTTTTATTGGATTTTAAGATTATAATAAAGTTTAAAATATAATAGAGGTAGGGGATTTTACGGACAATACTATACGAATTAGTATAAAGATTAGGAATAATGAAAGGAATAAATATATTAATTTTAAGGGATCTAAAGATCCGGATTATTATGAAGGATATAAAGAAATATTGCGGGCTCTAAGTAAATTAGGGCTACAAAATTAAGAGAAGCCGTAAAACCCGGAAATACTTCCGGGGAGGAGACTTTAGGGTCGGAGGTAAGCTCGATCGGGCTAGGATAATTACAATTAAAGGAAATTATTTTAGATAACGTTATTATAAGGAGGAAAGAAGGTAGGAGGGAGTTAGGAAGGGATACTATAGGGAAGATTATATAAATAGAGGGGAGAGCCCTTATATTACTAAAAATAGGGGTAGAACCGAAGATTGGAAAGTAAAGGGATAGGGCGGGGGTAAAGGCAAACGGGAGTAATAAGGCGGAGGGGTAGGGATGTAAATAGGAAAATAGGACAGAGAAGCGGGAGGAAGGCGGAAGAAGGGGCAATAAAAATTAAAAAGGTAACGGCCCTAACTATATTCCTATTATTCTTATTATTCTAGTATTAAAATAACGTAGCGAAGGAAGGAACGAAATTAATTCGCTATAGCGGTAGGTAAGAACCGTTATAGCTATAAGCAAAGTAGGAACGGCGTAGGTAAACTACAGCCGAAATAAAGCTGGGGGTTTTCATCCGGCGGCACTTAACGCCGTACAGTTTTCCCTCTAGAGAATTGGAAAAGGACCCTATGCTAATAAGGCGCTATAGTTATATAGTAAGGGTAAAAGAATATTATTATCGGCTAGGAATAGGTATAATAAATTAATTAAAGGTAGGTTGCTGTATTATTGGAGTTAATAAGTATTCGCCCTTTGTAATAGGCTTTACCTCCTATTGTAGAATACTCAGCGAAAGCTACTTTTAGCTTCTTCCGAACATAGGGGTACTATTTTAAACGACCGGGATTGTACAAATATATAATTATTTCCTATATTAGTATCAATTGGGTATAGTTTTCCTTAATAATAACATCGGTCGATTTATCCAACTCTTCGAGGGCGTTTAATACTAGTAAGAATATTTTTTTATTAACGTCCAATTCCCGGAGGCCGGCGGCTAATAAGGTCTTAAAATATATATTTTTAAAGCGGGTAGATTCGATTAGCTTACAATTCCTAGCTTTTAAGCGGTAATCGTCTATATTTAGAGGTACATCCTCCGGCTTTCTATTCAAAGTATTAGGGTAAAGGTTCTTCAAGCTTAGAGTATAGCGAGTAAGGAAGTTAAAACGGAATAGGAATTATAATTAGTATATATAGTGTAGAATTAACTATTGATTTATAATAAAAACTCTAAATTTTTATAATTAGTAACAATATCGAACGGTTATTATACTCCTTCTAATTTTAGCCTCTATTCCTCTAGCGCTTTAACAATAGCTAGTATGTCCTTATTATAAATATTATAATTATACTTCGTAGCGCTATATTGTAACGAGAAGTAGGCTATAAGGTAGAAGAGTCCATTGTCCCTATATTACAAGAGGGTGCTACTTAATACCTAATTTAATATATTCGTCTCATTAATCGTCTTTCTAAATTAGTTATATATATACAAAGTACGCCCGCTTATAAAAACTACTTTTAACTTTTCAAAAGCAGATTATTAAGTTGTAATCTATCCTTATTTAATATTATATTTAGTAAGGTCGTATAAGGTCGCGGCTATAATTGAGAATTTTTTAATAAAATGTTAGTAGAAGTTAGCAAAGTTTAAGAAGCTCTATAGGAACTTTTTAGAGGTAGGAGGTTGCTAATCGATAATGGCTTAAATCTTTTCTAGGTCCATTTTAATTCCTCCTAATATAATAATGAATCCCAAGTACTTTATCTTCTTAGTATAAAACTCGTACTTATCGGTATTTATTTGTAGGTTAGTTTTGGTTAGGCGTTTAAGAATATTACTGATGTATCGCTCGTAGTCCGCTTTATTATTTAAGAAAATTAGGATGTTATTGAGGTATATAGTTGTATAGATATTCAAAATATTATATAGAATATTATTAATATAATTCTAAAAAGTGCCCAAAGTTCTTTATAACCCGAAAGGGTATATTAAGGATTTAAAAAGTTTAAATTAAATAATAAAAGCGGTATACTATTTATACCCCTCTACTACGCGAATACGGTTAAAGGCGGCGATAATATCGAATTTAGTAAGGATTTTAGCCTTGTAAATAGTATTAAAGGTCTCCTTAATTAAGGGAAAGGGGTACCGGCTTCGGAATATAATATTATTAATACCTTTATAATTTATATATATTTATATTCCTCCTCCTAATTTCTTTATAAGTAGGATATGGGAGGCGTCCTCGGATTGTAATAGGCGGATGAAACTGATTTTCAAATTATCGTCGATCTATTTCTTGATAACGTTTAGTTCGTTGGGATTAAAAGGTTACAATTTGGTATAGGGCGCTTATTCGCTTAGCTTCAATTCGATCTTAAGGTTGTAGGAGTAGTGAAGGGGGAGGACTATAGCTTTTTTAAATTTAAACATCTTCTTCCGGGTAGCCCGGTAGAATCTACTAAAGCGCAGCTGTTATTGAGGTCCAGAGCTGGATTACTCTAAGTAAAAACTCAACAATTTGGCACCCTAATATAAATGCAAGGCTGGATTATTTAAGGTAAAAACTCAACGATTTGGCGGCATACTATAAATGCAAGGCTGGATTATTCTATACTATAAATGTAAGGCTGGATTATCCTGAGTAAAAACTTAATATTTTAGCTACCTACTATAAGTATAATATAGGATTTTAATTTATAAAGCTTTGTATTAATTTCTGTTATTATTATAATCATTATTATTATTATTATTATTATTATTATTATTATTATTATTATTATTATTATTATTATTATTATTATTATTATTATTATTATTATTATTATTATTATTATTATTATTATTATTATTATTATTATTATTATTATTATTATTATTATTATTATTATTATTATTATTATTATTATTATTGTTATTATTATTATTGTTATTATTATTATTATTATTATACTCCTTATACTCCTTATCTTCTTAATTTATTTATACCTATTGTCTATTGTTGGGATGTCACTAGTCTAGATCTTTTTAAGTATTAACTAGTTTATTATTAATGATTTCAAGCTTATTTACTTCCTCTTTTACTAGTATAATACCCTTATTAGTTGGCTAAATTATAATTATTTCGTTTATAACCTTCTTTCTTAACTTATTAAATACCTATAAAGTACATAGTTTGAAGGG